TCCAGGGAAATACTCTCCCAAATGTATATGAGGACACAGAGCTTCAAAACTCTTATGAAAAATTGGATAAGCCAGGTAAAAATAGAAAAATCCAAATATAGTTGCAGGCATTAACACTCCTCTCTCAGTTATTGGTAGACCTAGTACACAACAAATCAGCAAACATATTGGAGAATTGACAGTACCAGCCTCCAATGGATCTAATCAACTTTATAACACAAAATAAAAATTTAGGCAGAAAGCAAAGACAGAAATTAAAAGAAAGTAAAATCATGTTATAAGCAGGAAATTAAGTGTGGTCCAGCATATAGAAGAGTGCTATTATTGAAAGAGTTTGAAAGAGCTATTTAGTTATTTTGAAACATGTTTGAAGGAGTTACTTAGCTGGAAATGATAGAAAGACAGAAAACGGTGAATCTGGAGGTGTATCTTCTCTCGTCCATATTTATCTTGTCTTCTTTTGCTGTCTAGGGTGTCTGTACTTCCTCTGAATTACCTGATCCTACTACAGTGTCTGGCACAAAGCATCTCTCTAGTGAATATGTACTGTGAGTGGAAAGTAATTGGTAGATTCAAAAGAGTCATGCAAGAATAATGTTCATTATCTGGCAAATCATCAAATGTGTTTGAAGGAGGACAATGAGTCAAAGTTGACATCAAAGGTAAGCCCAAGGACAGATGTAGTGGCTCACTTCTGTAGTCCCAGTACTTTGAGAGGCCGAGGTGGTCAGATCCCTTGATAGTAGGTGTTTGAGACCAGCCTTGGCAACATGGTGAAACCCTGTCTCTACAAAAAAAAAAAAAAAAAAATACAAAAATTGTCCAGGTATATGGTATGCATCTGTAGTCCCAGCTACTCAGGAGGCTGAGGTGGGAGGATCGCTTAAAACTGGGAAGTGGAGGTTGCAGTGAACAGAGATCGCGCCAGTGTCTGGGCAACAAAGTGAGACCCTGTCTTAAAATAAAATAAAATAAAATAAAACAAAACATAAAAGTTAAGCCCAGGGCCAGGCGCGGTGGCTCACGCCGGTAATCCCAGCACTTTGGGACGCCGAGGCGGGTGGATCACGAGGT